CAACTATGTATTTTCAGATTGCAAGACAATATAATAATTGTTTATACTTCTTAGATTAAGTTTTAATAATTACCACGTAACTTTCTTTCTTTAAGTTTTTTCTAAATTAGATGTGAGATTTATTCTAAAGTTTTCTTTTAAATTTTAATTTCACTAATATTGCTTATTATTCCATATAAGAAAACCTTATATAATCTAAAAATATTCACTTTTTTAACCTATATTTATATATTTTGTATGTAAAAATATTATACTTATTATTTGACCTTCTTTGTATTGAAATTCTAACCAAAGTTTTTATACTATACAATAGTACATTTTTATATTATAAATGAAAAATAGCTTATATTAATTTTATAATAGTGATATTTATTGGATTTTTTTTCTTTAAATAGACCTTGCTATCAAAAATAATATCTTAAATGCAATGATATCTAATATGTAGGTATTTTATTTTAAAATAGTATATTTAATTATTTATCTAATGTATAATAGCTTCACCATTACAATGTAATAAATTTTGAACTTTTATCAAACCAAATCTATAGCTATGTCTCATTAATTACATTACTTCTTTAGTTGATCTTATGATAACTATATATTTTTTTTGTCATTGAAAGTACTATGGTAGACTTTAAAGTATACTTTGAACTTATCAGTTTATTAACCATCTTAAAGATATGACTTATAATGAATCTTAATATATCCACGTCTTAAAAAAAATTATAATAAAAAAATCATAAAATATTTTGCATCAAACATGATTTAAAAATTTATAATTTATTTTAAAATAAAAAATTGTCTATTTTAATATTTTTAGTGCTATTGATTTTTTAAATTTTTAAAAAATAATTTCTTAATTTACCAAAACTTCTCACAACATATGTGATATGTAGGCTAAGATATATCATTACCTACATAAAATTATCTATTATACTTGCATATCAAATATTAGATATATTCATTCTTTAACTTTGGTGTTTGGAAATTTTATTGAAGATAACTTGAAATAAGTTATTAAAAGAGCATTTATTGATTTATTTCTTTTGTCCTGAACCACATTTATTTAATTGTACCTTTTGATGATATCTAAAATCTAAGTGCTTTACAATCTTTGTAGACATAAATACTAATATTCTTTATTAATTTTAAATACTTTATATCAAATTATTAATTATATTAATTTTTTATTTTTTAACATTATATTTATTTTTATTTAAATTAAAAAATAATCAACATATAACAAAAATATAATATAGCCTTATAAAAGCCTTCTAAAGCCTTTTGGTGCTTGTGGATATCTTTTTTAAACTTTTATATTAAAAATAAATATTACTATCTATACACTTTAATTCTTTATTACATAATGCAATAACTTAAAAAATAAAGCATTTGCTATTACAAGACAAAATATTATACTAAAAAAATACTATAATTTTTATTATATCACTTTCCTATCAATTTAGCATCATATCTTACTTTACTCATTTTAAGAATTTTATTTTTATATACCCAAGTACACCCAATTTCTTTCTTACCTACTAGTTACTCTACAAAATGATATATCTAGCTCTTATAAATAAATTCTTAAAATATAAATATATATATATATATATATATATATGATTAAAAAAAACTTATTGGACTTTGATAACCATATATATATATATATATGATATTTTTTATTATCTTTAATAATATCTACAAATTTAAGTTTGATTTTTTTAATAATAACTACCATAAGTCTATAAAGAATTTAAATCTTTACAAAACTATCTAAAGATTTAAAGAAATAAACTTCTACTTCAAGAATATTAATTCTACTCTAATCATATATTTTATTTTCATATAAATCTTTTTTTTTAATATAGAAGTTCTATTAAACTTTTAATCTCTTTAAAAAAAACATAATTTAAGAAGATGTGTTTTTCGGTCGTTGGCTCTTATTTTGATCTTGTTTCTTTTTAAACATGAATAAACATTTTTTGTGATGTTTAAAAAATATAAAAAATTATAAATAAATATTTAAATATATATATATATATATATATATAGATATGTATAAAACTTTTAATACAATAAAATACATAATGTATTTAAAATATTATTCAAATTTCATATATTTATAATATTACATTATACATTGATAAGAAACATTGTTATACGATTAAGACATTAATAGAGACTCACGAGGAGTTTTGAAATTAAAAGAATATTATTAATCTATTAAAAAAATACTTGAGCTATACATTTGAAAAATACATATGGTTTTTGTAAAATATTGCTGTTAGAATATTGTTTTATAAATGAATGTAAACATATTTTGTGATTTTAAGTAAAATTGAATATTTTTATTCAAAAGAGATTATATAATCTGAAGAATATTGAGTAAAAATTGGCATCAACTACCATGTTAATACACCCTAGAAATTGCTAAAAGTATCTTATCACTATAGTATTTTAGAATGCAATTGACATCAAATGCAATATGTGATTGTTAGATTAATATATAAGTTAATATATTTTATTTTTTATTATAAAAATAAAATAAAATAACCACGAAAAAAAATACATATTTATAAAATAAAAATATGTATTTTAAATACAACATATATTGTATTAGTCAAAAACTAATTTAATAAAATTAAATAAGATTGCATAAAAGGCTTTATAAAACTAATACATTTTTTTAAAATATAATTTGGTAGAATATAGTAAATGAAATATATTTAATAAAATTATGTTTGAATAGATTATTTATTTAATATTTATCTTTAATAAATTTAAAATAAAAAGTAAAATTCTTTAGACTTTATGATAAAATCCATGTAATGAAAAATAATGTCTTAATATTTGAAAATTGATAGTGGAATTTTTTAAATACCATATTAAATCCAAAACTTCAAAAAAATAAAAATAAAAAATACATTGGTAGAAATTAGAATGACTAGGAACGTGCAAAACTTTAAGTGCATGTGTTTTATATGAATTGTAGCACCTTAGAGGTAGGTACAAGGATAAGAATAAGACCTACTGATATCTATAGAATATCTTACACAATGCTTGTAAACCTTAATGAGGTTTGAATCTTTGATCATGTAATCAAGTTATATTTAAATTAAGCACCAATTATCAATTTTTTATATTTATTTTGTAACCATAATTTCTTTACGACAACTTATATTTAATTTTTTTCTATTTCATTAAGAAGATTAGAGAAATATGTATTAAAATAGTATATTTTTATACTATTTATCAAGTAAAAATCTAATAAATATATTTTACTTAGTGTTTGAATGTGTATTTATTTTATTATAATTCTTTTTACATATTCTTCATTCATTCTTCTTGTTTTCTTCTTTGATTGTATTTTTTTAAACTACAACATAAATTTTAAGCAATTTTATTTATACAATAAGTAAAAATAATGAAACCACACAAATTTTCTATATTAAAAATTAATACTTTTATGTAATTCAGATTATGAATTTAAAATATATAAAATATAATATAGCTCACAAAGTAGCATCAATCAAATTTGGTCGTAACCTACAATATGACAACGGTTATAAATCAAACTTGTTTTAATTTTTATTCTAAATACATGATTCAAGTTTTTATATTAATTTATATATGTATATATATATATATATATATATATATATATATATATATACTAAGTATTTTAAAATTTTATTTTAATTTTTGTTTAATTCTTTTTCTAGAGTTTTATAAAAATATTTCAATTCACATGAACGGATTTTTTTTATATTTTTATCTAATGTTCTAAAATAAAATTTGTGGTTTAAAATCAATAAAATATTTAGATATTATCTACAGATAAACTTCTATTTATTTAATGCTTCTCATATATTTTTATTTGACCTGTAATATATAGAATAAAAAAAACTACAAATAAAAAATTAGTTTAAAGAAAACAACATATACTAATTAGAAAAACACAATATTTTACATAATTTTATTATTGACTGGTACATGTAGATATTGATATAGGAACTAAACATTGGTTTAAAAATTAAATGTTTTTTGGACATTTTTAAATTCTATATTTAGTTTATTGTATAAGATTATACAAGAATATTTGAAACTTTTAAAGATTTTAATCAACATCAATGGAAGAAATTCTACCTTGAATTTTTGGCATTAAATTAATTGAATATATCACCAATAAATAATTAAATAAAAATATTTTAATCTTGTATTTATTGTAAGAAATAGATAAATAAATACATGTCACAATTTTGTGAATATTTTTTTATATAGTCAATTTTTAAAAACTTGTTTTAAATAATTTTATTTTTTACTTTGGAAAAAATATTATATATATATATATATATATATATATATAAACACATTCAAGTATAAAAATTCAATAACCGTAAGTTTTTTATAATATTTTGAAATATGAAGATATTAATAATTTGCCTACACATCGCAGCTATGTATGTGCATCCATGTGTGTGTTTTTTGTGCGCCATAAGCTTATGTTATTTAAAAAGAAATTACATAACTATTTTTATTTTATGGCTGTTCAATCTTAGAGTGGTGTGTTTTTAATAGCTATTGTTCTATCATACACAATTTTTAGTATCTTAATACACTGGCTAAACTATTGCCTGTTAGTTTAAGGATTTATAGTTTTCATACACTTGATGAATTCATAGTGATAATGAATTACAGTTTCAAACAACTCTGTTATTTGACACGCCATTTCAAGAAACAAAATCTCAAACGAATGAATATGACGAGTTACTCTCAAGTTGATTGTAGTAATGTGAGATTCCATGCCATGCCATCTCTCTTTACTACTCTCAAGTTGATTGTAGTAATGTGAGATTCCATGCCATGCCATCTCTCTTTACCTTCACTGTTACATAGCTCCTTGATCAGCGTCGATTCACAGTAACTGAATTTAGAGATGTAGCAGCCTGGTTTGAGTAATCTGCTATGAATACACTGTATGTAGTATGAGCTATTTGTTAGTTGATCAATATTAAGTACTTATATTCAATATATTCTGCAGGAGTTTAACATTCGACAGTCAGTAAGTGAGGGGCAATGCTAATGTACAAAAATTTCATTGCAATGAATCATGAATCCGCAGTCACTTTGTGTGAGGAGCATCTCGCCCCTCAGGCAGAGTAGAGGAGATGCTGGCCACACTTTATTGGGTTCTCGTAATGTGCAAACTAGGCTCTCGGGGGATAACGCTACAGGAATGGTACATGATGGCGGCACTGAATGATGTGGAGCGCGGTGCTCAGAGAATGGTCCGAGACGCCCAACACCAGAATATATTGCAAAAGTATTCAGTGTTGTGGTGCGTGCTAGTGCTCAGGTGAAGAGACGCGCGTCTTGATGGGCTTCAACTTCAGTCCGAGGCTCTGCGGAGAGAGGAGCTCGGGAGACATGCAGGGTGGACTCAACGGACTTCTGGGGCTCGAATTCAGAGATCTTAGCGGCCGTTCATAAAACGCATAGCCTGTGAGAAATAACTCGATTGGCACCAACATAGACTGTGGTCGCTCTTCAGTAACTATAGATCCACATCCTTCGACCTGTCAACAATACATGCGATTGTCAGATGGCTATCTGCCAGTTGCGCTACAGACAATAAAATGACAAGAACGAAATCGAGTGGGGGCTCGTTTGTTGGTCAGAAGAAAGGTGCTGAAAATCTCACCTCAATCAACGCATTGTAGCGTTTATTCATAGCTTCGCTGATGTGTAGAGCTTCCTGATGGAAGGGAGACTGATCACCAACCAGGATCAATGTGCGGCATTTCAAGTTTCTTAAACTTTCGGTCAAGTCCTGTCTGTGATGAATAGCTTGCAGATAATGCATTATGCTTTCACTGCGTCCATCATCCATGACCTGCACAGGCCACAAAACACTCAAAGATCAAGCACCAGACGAATTCTAGGCACGTCGAGAGAGCGAGAGAATATATATATATATATATATATATATATATATCAAGCTTGTAAATTCTTTTGATTTTCCCACAAAAGTTGGCTATCTCCAAAGGTTTAGTCTACTCACTCGACGGATGGTCGCTAACAAGTCTGTTCCCCCCACAGAAGCAGCAGCATCGCGAACTTCCTGGGAGAATGAACCAAAAACCATGTTACTTCCATACATCTCCTGCAAGTAGTAATCAGCATTTGGAATGGATTTACTCTTCATAGATTTAGTATCTGCTTCATCAGCAAGGATGCTTACCGAACTGAAGTACCGTTGGATAAATCTCTGCTTAACAAACTCGGTCATGCCGCAGAAGTAAAGTAGGCTTATCATAGCTTGATTGTGCAGCCATTCAGTCCACGATGGACTTCGGGCGAGAGGTGACACCAGAATCAACCCGAGTGCACGTTCGGTATATTTGCACTGCACATCACCAAGAGCTTACTAATCAAACTCTGTTATATCCAAAACCAACATTCATGGAACCAGAACAAGTGCTCAAACAATGCGATCATTTCCTGAAGTTAAAGAAGCTTCATAAGTATGAGAAGAAAACCTACAGCGAAGAGACTCAAAACATACGCTCCGCCGGTGACTCCCATGCCGATCACCTCCTCCAGCCTGAAATTAGCAAAATATAACCCAAGTGGTCAAGCCCAAGTCATCGGCTGTCTAACTTTTGCTCAGAATGTGATTGGTAATGAAAGTTAAATACATCAGAATGAAGGATATATAATCAACGTACCCAAAATAATCCAATACTTCCGCCACTTGGTCAGCTAAATCATCTACGGATAGTGAAGAGAGCTCAGAGTCACTTTGAGAGGCCCCAATCTCGTGACCGGGGGGGTTTATATGGAAAATGCAAAAGTTGAAGAAGAGCACCGACGAGGCTTCTGGACAAGAGAATAGTCCTTCAAAGCAAGATAAATCTACATCCAGGTTGTAATGTCAGACCTCCAGCTTGTACAGATATTAACTGATATCTAATTAACTAATTTCTTACGCCCAACCGAGGGAGAAAGGAAATAAAAAGCTGTAAACAACTTCTAATAATTCAAGAAGAAAAATATAGTTGGTATTTTAAATAAACAAGTGTAGGGAATTTTCAAGAGAGATCATTACATGCTGAAAAACCTCGATAGTACTAGACATGATACACTGGAATTCTGAGACTTACAATTTAGTCCTACGTCGGGATAGGTAACGAGAGCGGGTTTATCTTGATCCCCGCATACAGTAACTGAAATATGCCCAAACGACGTCGGTACCATATACTCCTGTCATCAGATTAAAGTGTCAGCGAGTGCGTATCACAGCGGAGAGCTACATGAACAATTCACCACATGACAAGAGTACAAAAATAATAGGGCTGAGGAAGGTGTTCTACAAAGACAGCAAAGCCCCGTTCTCAACAGAGGGTGCGAGCAAAAGCCAGCGAGACAAATTCAGATTCTATTAGAACCTGACACCCTCCTTAATTTAAAACAAACAGAACCGCCACTCTACCTCAAATTACAAACTCCTGTTCCAATTCTACACTGACAACCCCTTACACTAAAATCTAACAACCAAATCTAAGGCACGTCTCTCTCCTGTCATCCACCATCACGACATCCTTCTCTCACTGCATTTTCACATTACCTCTCCCTCATCCACTGCAACCATTCGCTTCTACGAAACTCGCAAAATTCGCAGAGGCAACCGGAGAGGGGAAGAGGAGGCTCAAACAACCAAAAAAACCAGAGGAACCCTTTGTACCTGTCCACCCGACGGCACAATGTCCATGTCCAAAGCAATCGAGTCACCCCCCTCCTCCATCATCTCACGCGGCAAAAAAACCAGAATATCGCGCTACTCCTTTTCACATCATTGTATGCATCCGCATTGACCCGAGTTCACTTTCCTCACTTTCTCAAAAAGATTTAAGCGAAAATAAAATTAACTATTGTAAACATTGACGTCGCCTCACTCCAACAACCCGCAAATGCACACCCTCTTTTCTTAAGACCCGCTCGCTACCACCAGAAAGACCCAAACCCTGGCACCATTAAATCACACTCGAGCAAAATTTCCAGCCAAATCAAACTAACGTTGCAATTACTCCTAAGAACCACCACAACAACGGTGCAGAAGAAGAAAATGAGGGAAAGCGTGAAGCGCCACAAGCAACTAACAAATCCTACTCCCCTCGGCACACTATTCCTATTCAATCCGATTAATACAATTGAAGAGTGCAGCAGAGAAGTAGCGCGTCAATCGCAGGCGCTGTGACAGCAGCAGAAACGAGTGGAAATGCGATGCTATGCTGCAAGACAGGCCATATTGAGGCTGAAACTGCGAAGTGCGTGAGGTTTGCAAGTCGAGCTGGAGCTGGCTGGCAGGTTATGGGGCTTCCCACCTACCCTGCCCCGCTCTTTCCGAGCCTCCCTTCCTTGCATGTCACCTGCTACGCTAAAGGCGGAGGGTAGAGCCGGGTAGGAAACCGAACCTGGCCCCCCTTTTCTGGGGCACGAGACTGCAGTGCTGGAGGGTCGGAGGTAGGCAAGGGAAGTCCCACGCGGTACCTGCCCCTCACGCTTTGATCGCCTGATTAGAGACAAACGTAAGAAAAGGGAAATAAAAAAGTGTGGCTCGTGCAATCACCGTGGGCTCAACTATGAAAGAACACACACTCTCTCTCTGGGAAATCATTGGGGGGGGGGGGGGGGGGTCATCAGTAAAAGTAGTAGTAGTCGTAGTAGGATGTATTGTTTACATCATTGAGCCAACAAGCAATGGACGACTGGTGTTAGAAAATGCCATGTCATCTCAATCATCTTGGCACTGGATGGAGTATCCAGTGGAGTTTTTATGGTGACTGCAATGGCTTCTACGAATGAATGGTAATCACTTGATTGAGTTGGTATGGGGTTAAAATCAAAATGGGCTGTGTTTGTTTGTTCGTTTGTTCATAGGGATGTTTTACAAGGCTAGCCCATTGTTTCCCTTTTTTATATCTCCTTTCTTTGCTCAATTATTAGCTGATGCTCTCAGTTTATGGTCCACTGTGACATGGTCCACAAGGTTAGAAAGGTGAGACAGAAATATAATTGACCAAAAGTAAAATAAAGTGGAGTAAAATATAAGAATCATAGAAGTTCTTCACACAAGCAGGAGCAGCTAGTTTACAAACTTTGTTGACACTTTGATTCAATTCACCAAACTGTCAAAACAAATTTTCAACATGCTACAGCTTGACATTTCCACATGATCTAGTGTCAAGCCACCTTAATCAAAGAGAAATTCTCAGAAGGAAAGAAAAAAAAAACAAACAAACCAATACACAAACAAACAAGTAAACAAGTAAACAAATAAATCAATCTGTTTATTCTTAACTTTCACTATTGTGATGGAAGCGTACAAAGAACACAGTATTTTAATTAAATGCAACCATGGGTGTAAAATAGAAACGTCAATGACAACCTTGTTCTTTTGCTTTTCCCACACAAATTGCAAGAGGATTCAGTTTTTCATCCTTGGATGAACAAATAGCAACCTTGGGTCATGCATAAACACACAGGACCGTCCACCCTGGCACACCACACATGGTCTGATTAATATAGAATGAAAACAAAAACAAGGTGTATAATAAACCCAGCTAAGTGGGATGAAGAAATTAGGGCCTCTACAATAGGAGATCCATTCACACCTACATTGTCAGGAGCCCCTATCCAACCCTACACGTGGCCCTTTCTTTGACTGTCTCTCTCTCTCCCTCCCTCCATCATGCTTTTGCTTTTTGCAATTCTTGGGTCTTTTTTGGCTTGTTGTCCCATTCTAGGAATTCTGAAACTTTTTGTCATGTATGAAGATGACAAGCCAAAGTTTGGAGCATTGAGCTTGAAGATCCAGCTTTACTACAATTACTATTATTATTTATAGTAATGTGGGGTCTGAAACCCACTAATTAGAATGTTCCTTGAAGCTATTAAGAATCCCATTCAAGCAAAATTGAAGGAGGCCTACCGCTGCTCTTCAATTCTGAAAGACATTGGTCTGCATCAAGCAATGTATCTTCTAAGCTTCAGACTCTGTGGAGGAAAATAGGGGCAACTCAGTAGAATTCTGAGGGATAACCCTTGCTCACCAATGGTTGTCACCAAACTGTAACTTTGAAATGAATTCATTGTCTTGATGTTATAATTTGCAAAAGTTAGTGTTCCATGTATGGGGTTTGTATAGCAATAAATTAATAAATTCTTAACCTTTTCAAGATAATAACAACTCTGAAGGAAAACTGCACTGTAGAGTGATAAAGCCATTACCCTTCAAAATCAGTGATGTTAATTTAGTTATATCCTCCACGTTATTGCTATAATTCTGTAATCTTCATCCATTTCAACCCACTGTTCAAAGTAATTAAGACATGTTTTGTGAATTCAATAATAAATGTTGTTTAGTAGAATTTGAAGGGCATCTCATTTCATTGTCTTTCAGAATAAAGAAGAAAAGCAAATTCTAACAATGCCAATTAATTAATTCATAAACGTTTTCAAGCAAAACCCATTTCCAAGTCATTCCTTTTGCCCTTCAAGAAGCATTAACATATGATAATTAACAACATGTAAGGAAATTGATATTGGAAGATTACAAAAAATGAACTAATCACATGCAAATATTTCAAAATGTGGATCAAATAATACCATTGATTTATCTTGTTGATGTACAATAGTTTTTTGAACTAAACTAACTTAAAACATAGGTTACTTAATTGGAAAGACAAGGTTAACCCATTTTTAATCATGAAAATTTCCACTTAAATACATAAACAATGTACAGTCTCAGAGAAAGAAAGAAAGAAACACAACAGTAAAAAGATGTAGGACGAATATTCTGCAACACGAAGGATATGACATCTTTTGTGGGAATGAAAAATGATTGGTTCGAAATTTCTTCATGTGCTGCCATGTGCACTAAAATAGTTAACCAAGTGGGTAATCAACCTTTTGATTTCTCCCCTCTTTCTCTCTCTACAGCTCAAAAGGACCCATAAAAAGAGGGTTGCACCAACAAGAACCCAAATCTCACACCATTCAAATAACAGAACTCCAGAGGGATGCACGTCCATGGAAGGCTGTCCAGCTTGTCTGATAAAAAAGAATGGCTTACAGACCCACTGATTAAAAATAGCTTCCGAATTGCCAGCTTGGCATACAAGCCACCACAATATTATGAACATGTGGAATGCCACTGGCATGACACTTGTGAATAATGTCTCAAAATCAGCTTTGGTGGTTGGTTGCTAATTGTCAGGTGTCACTTGCTTGAAGCTCTTCTCTCTGTCCTGGAAGCTTTCAGGCATCTCACCCACCTCATCGAATGGAAGTGGTTTGTTTTAATTTCTTCAGGCCAGAACATGCTTGTGATACCCTAACCAGTTGACTGTTTCACTAACAGAACAGCCCAGGATGCCCTTGAGATTTGGTTTCATGTCCCAAGACTGTTGAATTTGATACTTGAATCCTTTGATTATACAAGTTTTACACAACCCAGTTTTGTATATCATACACAATTGGAGTAAAAAATAACATTGTGATGTGGGCTAATGGATATGGATGTTTTTATGTTTGGCTCTTAATTGCAAAAATGTTAACGTGTATAGCATTAAAGAGGAAGGGAGCTGGGTAGTCATGAATGATCAATGTTGGATTGAACTGAAGGGTTCACTCCCAAAGGACAAGGAGTACTTTGAACTGTGAAGGGATCATGAAAATTACATATATTACATTTTTAATAAACAGAATATCAACTAAGAGATACAAAACACAGTTTGAAAAAGAGCAAGAACAAACAATGCAAGGGATTCATAAAAACAAATCAAATCAAATACATGAAAATGAAAGTAAATATGATAAATTATGCATCAAGGTAATAGAATACAAATAATTAGATACGTGAAAGACTTAAGTCATAGATGTATATTGACATTAAATAAACGTGGTTCTTTTAAGTGAATCAAAAATTAGTAAAACATACATACATGTAATCAAATCATGAACATAGAAATGTTTTTCATCCCAAATAAAGAATCATTTAAACTATATTTGGATAAATAAAAGTTCAAATGAAAATCATTTTCATTTATATTCTTAATTGAAATACCACGGAACATCTCAAAATTATTATTTTTCTTCAAATTCACAATGAATTTCACACTCAACCTGCGCCCAACGGCCCCTTTGGAACGGGAATGAGCACAACCAACATCAAACCTGAACCAACGTTGCACACGTTGCAAAAATTGCGGTGGACAGGTAAGGCCACGGGAGGTTCGCATGGCATCAACTGGAGAATATTCCCATAACTATAGTTGTGGCGGTGATTTCATCCATATGAAGTGGTTGAATGGAGAAGTTCATCCGTTAGACCCGGACGGGACTGCAGAATTCTAAGGCTCCCCTCCCAGCTGGGAAGGAACCCCCCTGCCAGGTGGCTTTCGACAGCTCTTGGCAGCACGCTGCCGCGATTCCTGCGGCCGCGGTGTCGGTGAGACTGCAAATGGGCCGCATGATCTGCCGCTTTCGTCGCTGACTCTTATTGCATCATTTTCCTCTGGCCAATGGATTCTACCGATGGTCGGGAACTTTCTTAGGGAACAACCTTTGGGATCGTCCGTCAGGAACGTGAGAACAAAACTTAACCTAGAACCGATGAGTTTAGAATGTGAATTTGAAATAATGTGGTGCATAACGCCAAAACAAAATCATTGTTTTATATTTTAACGCACATATTACATACTGGTTTTCGTAATATAGAACAAAGTGTGTTTTTTTATTTTGTTCTACTGATTTATTTACTTGTTGTTATACAATGTTCTTTTTTGCGTTTGAGATGTTCACTGACTTCAAGTTTATACCAGTAAGTTTAATTTTAGAGTGATTCAATAATAATAATGTAATATAACTGTAATTTAAATATTTGAATGATTGAGTAATTAAAAGATAATTCAATTGAAATTGGTTTTCAATAATTTTGCATGCTTAAAATGAATACATATATATATATATATATATATATATATATATACACACACACACATGAGACAATAGACACCACCCTTGAAAATCAAAGGAAATATTGTTTGTTTAAAGATTAATCACATATCAGAAGAGAACTTTGATTTCACTATCCAATATTCGCCATTTAGTAATTACTATTGCAAGCAGGTGGTTAATAAACAATTCAGTATCCACATGTTTTGTATAAATCAATGTTTATACATAACAAACATGACTCTTCATATATTTAATAGATAATACAAAAGTTGATAATAATGAATAACAGATAATTTTGGACGTAAACGATTTAACACCCAAAGGCGTTCCAATA